GTGCCTTTACATAAAAGTGTAAATAAATTGTTATGTTAGATGCTATAAAGAAAAAGCTTACAAGATTCTTGCAATTCATTTGTAGGTATGAAGGGGCTCTGGATCCTTGGATGTCTGCCTTGTGGAATATGTTGTATCAAAAGAATCCCAAACTACTTCCAAATGGCCCCGATTTATTGACACATGATGCAACTTTACTGGACCAACCAAGAGTGCGAATTATATTTCACGATGCCGAAGAATGGGTGCCGCCACCTCTTTCAACAACCACGGGTTGGCTGCTTAAACTTGTGATCTCTTTTAGCATATATATGTCATTTGGACATTTTCCTTGTTTCGGTATTATCAATAGATTTTTTTTTTTTGTTTAAAGGTGACATTTTTTATATGAGCCATGCACATGGTATCATTAGAGGTATTTAAGAAAAGAATAAGTCTATAGATTTGCCAAATGATTGGTGAGGGTATATCATCATGCACCATCTCTTGTTCATTGCTATTGAAAGTTTAAACAACCAAGTTAACATGTAAGGAATGAGATAAGAGATTGTTTATTTCATTCGTGTAATAATCTTAATTACAACAATTTTCGTTCAGAAGCCAGAAAGTAATACCGTGAATTTGGTTGTTAATGATCGTAACATTACACAGTTTCATCAAATTAACTCTGATTTTTATTGGTTGTTACAATTTGCGTTGCAGATTTGGAGGAACTTGGGATGCGAATTGAGAGGGTTCGTTCAATGACTCGTGGAAAGGTTTCTGGTAAAAACAGACCTGATTGCTTCCTGAAGATGGTGGGTCATAGTTTCTATATCCTCAATAATTAGTCAGCTTTAACAATATTCTTTGTTTTATACTTAATTAGCATCTTTATTAATAAAAAGTATTGAATTTGAACAATCTTGAGTAACCTTCTCACAGGTTGAAGATGCCTTCTTGCGAAATAATTAAGCTGCACTTGATATTTTGTACCTTTGGTTTTAAAATATGATAAAGAAGGGTAATGTTTAAGCATCTGCCAGAACATTGTATACTTTCAAACACATGTCAAACAGTTGTATTTGATATACTGAGCGATCCAAATGTAATTATTAAGAATCCCAATGGGTTAGGGTGATTCATTTTGTAAAAGAGGAAAGATAGGATAAATTTTGTGTATTTTGAGAGTCGAAAAGCATCCTGTATCTAAATAAGGAACTAACGCTTGGTTACAATCTTTTCCAAAAAAAAAAAAAATTATCCTATCCCAATCCCAATTAGAAGAACAATACACGTGAAATATATATACAAAAAAATATGCACTTATACGAGTAAAATGCTTGCTAGCTCTTGAAGCAATCATTTAAAATTGAACTAGGAAAGTTAAAAAATGAGTCCCTTGTACATGTGGATCTTAACAAAAGCACATATGAAGTTCACTAGGAAGAGGCCTACCCAATTATTCATCAGAGTTGTACTACAAATTTTCACTGAGCTGCATGGCTTGATTGCAGCTGCATGACAAAGGTAAAAAAGTGAGCTGCACTTGTAGCTTCGGCTAACACGTTAATTGACTCACAAAGTTTCTAGGGGATAGTTGTGAGCCAACTGTTGGCTCATTTTAATATGGACTCGAGTTTAAATTTTATTTTACATTCGTATTATTTATTTGTTTTTTCTTATATTCTCTTGACATCTAGATATAGGCTGGGGCCGCCGGGCTAATGATGACAAAATAAAATGGTCACAATAAAATAAAAAGAAATTGTGTCAATGCATCAATCTCCAGCACATGCTTGGTGTGCTTCAGAAAATTTTAAGCCATAACTACCAAACAGTCTTTTGAAACTCATATAACTTTTGACCATTTGTGTTCTTACGTAGACCAAGAATCATCTGTTAAGTAGACCAGACAGCGGGAAGGATGTACGGCACTTGGAATTTGAAGCTGTTTCATCTGTAAGTCGGACCAAGTATTCTGATTCTGGGTTAATTATCATTTCCATTTATCCAGATACTTTAATATTATTTAAAACGTCTTAAATACTTTTGTTACTAATTATCATTTTTCATTTGCAGTCAATAAATTATGACGTGGGCGATGTTCTTGAGATTCTTCCTGGACAAAATCCTACTGCTGTTGATGCGTTTATACAGCGTTGCAATTTGAACCCTGATTTATACATAACTGTAGGGAGTCTTCTTATTTAATACATTTGTGCTCTTTTCCTTTTGTTGTTGTCAAAAAATGGTGCTTCTTGCTCTTTTGGGCATTATACATGTTATAAGTTATATAAGTGGTGAATTTGACATAACATACATTGATGCCATAGTGGATGGAAACAAAACTCGTTTATCGCCTGTGATTGATAAGGAATTGTGTTTTCCTCTGCTATTTTCAGCTTGTTTTTCTTGAGATTTTAATTCAAAGTGTAGATACTATTCTAATTTATGTATTCCTTAGATAGTTTTCTTTTTACAGATGTTTCAGTGATTTCAGGTTCAGCAAAGAGATGAAGCGAGGGATCTTCCTATGTTCCCTGTGAAGCTAAAATCATTTGTTGAGTTAACAATGGATGTTGCATCAGCTTCCCCAAGGCGTTATTTCTTTGAGGTACTAAAGACACTGAAAAAACTTGCATGTGTTGTATTCAGTGGGTAGTTGTGCTCTACATATTTTATCCATTAAATCAAGTTGTACTGAAGACATTCATGAGCACATATATAATATAGCTGTTGAGAAAAACCTCAAAACATGGAGTTATGGTGTTTGTTAAGTTACCTGATCCGATTAATCATAGTTCAATAAGAGCATCTCCAATGGTAAAATGTAGTTGTAGTACATTACACTCTATATTAACAAATTTAGCAATGTCTCAATTTTTAATTCTACAATGCACAATGTAATTACAAATGTAGTGATGAGGTGGACATAATTAATGTCTACAATGTAGAGAAGAATGTGGTTCATCCACATTCTCTTTCACATTCTAATCAACCAATTGAGAGATGAGAGAGAAATATTATTACCATTTTCAAAATATCTAATTATTTAATTCTTTTTGTTTCTTATTTATATTTTTTTTTTTATTTTTGTCAAGTAGACAATATTATGTTTGATCACATTGTGCATTGTAGATAATTTTTTAGATTTAAAGTTGTGAACTTAATAAATATCTTATGTGGTTCACAATCCATCTAAATAATTGACATTTGTCAAAATTGATGTGATAATAACATTTATGCATTGGAGATGCTCTAAGTAGAAAGTGCAACGGCATGTAATTGCTTATCTGTTTTGAGAATTGAAATGTAGTTATTGTCATTTGTCAGACAAAAAGTCAGATTTATTTATTTATTTATTGACTTGCAAGATAAGTTTGAATATTCTCAATATTGCATTATTCATCCAATCTTGTGGATACCCAAAGATGTGGTCTAGATGGTTAGACTATATAATCTAGGAAAATGCTGTTCTTTCCTGTCAAATTACTAGATTTTGACATCTTATCATTCTTCTTAGTGAACATTTCATTGTGCCTACATTAAGAATAGTTGTCCTGATACCTGACTTTCTTTAGGTCATGGGTCATTTTGCCACCGCTGAACATGAAAAAGAGAGGCTGCAATATTTTGCCTCACCTGAAGGAAGTGATGATCTTTACCGGTACAATCAGAAGGAAAGGAGGACTGTCCTGGAGGTGATAAGTTCTATTTATTTTATTTTGTTTTTTATTTTTTGTTGTGGTGCTAGTCCAATATTACTGTTTTACATTTTAAATTTTTTCAACTGAAAATAAAGGAGTGGTAGTAATGTGGGATTTGGGAATGTCTTCACTGTCATTACTTTAGCCTTTCTCATTAGCATCTGTGCGAAGATATGGAAGTTTCCTTGTAAAATGAACAGAAGACTGCCAAAAGCATCTATCTTCTAATCAGATGTAACATGTGAATAGAGTAATTTTTACTATTAGATCGTTTCTATGTTTTACCTCTTTAGGAATCTTCTTCCCCTGCATTTTTTTTTTTAAGAAATTGGGACCAAGTTCTTGTATAATTGCCTGATTTATTTTATTGTCTGTTTAATGTAGGTACTGGAGGATTTTCCTTCTGTGCAGATGCCGTTCGAATGGCTGGTACAGATTGTTCCCCCTCTGAAAACGAGGGCTTTTTCCATTTCCTCCTCTCTTTCAGCGCATCCAAATCAAGTGCACTTAACTGTTAGCGTTGTATTATGGACAACTCCTTACAAGAGGAAACGTGAAGGCCTTTGCTCATCCTGGCTTGCCAGTCTCGATCCTGAACAAAGTAAGTCCTTTATTATTCACTACGGGTTGATTATAAATATCAACCCTGAGGTTAAGCCTTAATTACAAAAGCATTTGGCTTGTTTTGGAAATTACAAAATAATCTGCTGAAGTTTGTTCAATATTACCAACTAAGGTTCTCAATAGGTGTAATTTTTATGTGGAGGGCTTTTATTGTAACAAGGGATCTTTTTGTTGTGACTGAGAATTAGAAAAATCCCTGAAGGTTTCTGAAAAGAATTCAATATCTTGAAGTTTGTTTCCATCTTATTTTTCCCACTCATAAGCAGAAAACGTGTTAAAAGATAAAACCTCTTTTCTTTTTTTCATGTGTTTGTGTATTTTTTTCTATTGGTAGTAATTTTGAATTTCTTTTTTATTGTTTTTCAAATATCCCGAAACCTCGAAGTTAAATTTTGCATTTATTCATAGTTATAATAATTATGGTGAACCTCAGAGTGGGTCATGTTAATATTCTTCTATGGTACTTCTATGGACTGTAGCTCAAAGTTATCTTCATCTTTAATGTTTAATAAACCTAAAACAGGAGTTCTTATTCCAGCATGGTTCAGAAAAGGTTCTCTTCCTTCCCCATCACCATCACTTCCTCTCATTCTCGTGGGACCCGGGACTGGATGTGCCCCTTTCCATGGATTTATTGAGGAAAGAGCCTTACAGGAAAAAAAAATTCCCACGGCCCCAATCCTTTTCTTTTTCGGCTGTAGAAGCCAAAATGACGACTTTTTATATCAAGATTTCTGGTCTTCGCATTCGGAAAACAATAGAGTGCTTTCTGAAGGAAAAGGTGGAGGATTTTATGTTGCTTTTTCGAGGGATCAGCCTCAGAAGGTTTATGTACAGCACAAAATGAGGGAGAACAGTAAGAAGATATGGAGTTTGCTGAGTCTTGGTGCTGCCGTTTATGTTGCGGGGTCCGCTAACAAAATGCCTTCGGACGTGTTATCGGCATTTGTGGAGATTGTTTCGAGTGAAGGTGGGGTTTCGAGAGAGGAGGCTTTGAAGTGGATTAGGGCGCTCGAGAAGGCTGGCAAGTATCATGTTGAAGCCTGGTCTTCTTGAGTTCCATTCTGGATTTTGAAAGATGCTAATTGCAGTTGGTTTTTCAAACTTTATCGGAAGGCTAAAGTTGCAGTTTACATTATAATGGGCTGAAAGTTGATAGGGAAATACCTATAGGTTTTAGGTTATAAGATGAATCTTCAAACTGT